CTAGGGCACTGGTACGCCTGCTACAGGTCCACGCTCGCGGTACCGTCATCTGGGGCTACTTTGGCCCACTTTTGAACTTTGAGCCCCTGTGGACTCAAAACCAGGTGTCCCAGAGATTTGAGTTTTTGGTATGAGTCAGGTCTGTGGTTCGACTCGACAATAGGCCTAGCAGAATTTTTGAAAATATATCTGGCTCTTTATAAAAAATTAAAAATGGGGTGGGCAAAGCCGCCCCCGTCGGAGGGGCCACTTTGGCCCATCTGCTAATTTGTGGTCTTTTCTCCACATTACCAAGTAAATTTACCCAGATTCCATTTTTAGACTATCTCTAAAGCATTCGATGTCTATTAAGTAGCAAATTTGAAATAAATTTATGCTCTTAAGTCGAAAAAATCTCGATAATTTTCCATCAAGGCATTTTTGCACCATTTTTCATGGATTTGTGATAGAAATCATAGAAATCAATAGAAATTCATGTATTCCTGAAAAATACTATCCCAACCGTTAATATCATCTATAAGTTGCATAAACACATTCCAAAAAGGCAAAAATATTTGTCGCCTGAAGGTAAGTACATCAAAACCAACGTGGCCAAAGTCACCCCGCTCACGTCCTCAAAAGTGCACTTCTTCTTTCTATTCATCTTAGGTCACAGCCATGGTCAGACAGAGGCCGGGAAAAAATATGCATGCCTACCAGACACATATACCAACCGGAAAAAATATACTTTGTGACTCTGGGACGTCCAGAACCGCTGGTGTAAATAAAAGTTTCCGGTTTACAAAAAAATACTGAAATGATCAAACTGATAAAAAGCCATAAAATCGGGTGTTAAAAGGTCGGAGGTACGCTAGAAGCATTTTTAATCGTTAAAACGCACATTTAGCTTCAAAACAAGACCAATAGCGACTTTCTATCTTATCTAGAACTCATTTTATACCGGATTGAAACAAAAATTCTGGGTTCGGGCCAAAGTCACCTCGCAGGGCCAAAGTAGCCCCAGATGACGGTAGCCGTTGCACCCGGAGCACGAGGACGAGTGCGGTGTAGTGGGGCCCCAGGGCCCTCTCC